AAGTGTAGTCTTTAACTCCACTAGGGAAACCCAAATGTGATGTATACAACTAGACCGAAAAATTCAGAAAATATTATAATTTTTTAAGTGATGTCTTTTTCCTTTTTCTTACATTAATAAGTGATGTCTTTATCCTCTCACAAATTGTCAAATCCATCGTTTTTGTGGCTGGAAATCATAGCAGCGGACCAAAAATATAAATGGCAATTACAAAAATACCGTATGCACATTTGCAAAAATGCCATTAATTATAAATTTATAGAGCATATATCTTAAAATTCAAAATCCTAAAACATGTTTTGACACCTAAACACTCAAAACTAAACCCTAATAGAACATAATTAACCCAAACATGAATAATATAAAGAAAAAATAATTTTGAAAAAGTGACATTTTTGTAAAGATTTCAAAAATGTAGCATTTTTGTAAAGATTTCAAAAGTGTAGCATTTTTGTAAAATAATACTTGAAAAGTGGTATTTTTTGAAATTTCTCAAAAATAAATATAAAACCGATCAAAATTTTAGCTAAATTATTCTATTTGCCATTTCTATTTTTTCGGGTTCCTTTTTCAGAATAGTTTTTTTTTATTCTTAAATATGGATTTCTTCTGATAGAGAGTAAAAAAAATTGGTTTCTTAAGTTTGCAAATATGAGTTTTTCATGGAATTTATTGTATGTGGAGTTTGAGAACTTAATTATGGTATCTTCCTATAATATTTTCCAACTAGTTTTACATGAAGTGGAAAGCTGGAGAAGATGTAAACCAAACCAATAAGGCAGAAGAAGGTGAAATGGAACAAAGCCAATGGTCCATGATAGATATTCACTCCCAAATCTTAATATGTCATATTGATGTTTTTTTTGATAGAAAAAATCCCACGAACAGAATAAGATAGTATTTTGTCGATACCGAAAGACCTTGTCTAATCGGGTTAAAAATAAGTAAAAGCTTATTACATTTTTCATGCATAATTGGATGAGTTCCTATGAACTGTCTAGTCTAATAGAGAAATGGGTTCTATCAACGTATTTCAGAATGAATTGTTTCGATATATATAGTAAAGATGTTTGAAAACCAACCGAATGGGGACTTTCAATTTCCATTAAATTTTTAGTGTTCTTCGAAATAGCTTTTGTGAATTTTATACTATTTTAATTTCGTGTCCGCACTCATTCCAAATTTGTGCATATAACACTGCTGCCAAAAACATGCGAAGCTAAGCTCCCAAAATAAAGATTTGAGGAAAAGAAAAAGACTAAAGAACTCAAGGAACGGTCCCACTCCGCACCATTCTAAAGATTTCACT